GACGCAGACAAAGCGGCCTCAGCTTGCGAAGAAGAGGACAGTAATCCAAGTACGGTTCTTGCCCAGATAAAGAGTGAAACCATTCTTGAGAATGAAAACAAGGAGACTCTTCATACGGAAGGCGACGTCTTCTTGTTAACAGGAGTGGCTCGAGTAAGAGACTCCGTTCGAAACATCTGGAAAGAAGTGGAAGTCTTACTGGATACAGGTGCAGATCAATCCTTTATCAGTAAAGAACTTGCGGAAGAACTTGGACTTGTATGTAAGGCGCAAAGGAAGTTCATTATGTACACCTTTGGTACAGAAACGCCCAGGCAAGCCACATGCGGAGAAACGATGTTGGACCTGTGGGACCATGAAGGTGTCGAACATGAATTGCACCTTTACACTACACCAGTCCTGACCGCTAGGAACAAAATCGCGCAGCTTGATAGCGCAGATATGGAATACATTGCGCAGCACCAAATTCCCTTATCGAGAAAGAATGGCAAACACTCTTCGACACCACAGATTCTCTTGGGTTGTGACCAGTTATGAAGTCTTCTTGACGTTCCCTATCCTCACCACATCTTACCCTCCGGACTACAACTTGTTCCTTCGAAAATCGGATATCTGCTTACTGGACGACAAATAAAAGCACCTCCACATAAGGAACAGGAAGATGAAAATGCATCCCGGGGTGGAAACCTTCGTGAGCGCCCTTACCAATTTCGATGAGGAGTTGGAAAGATGGGATAAGTATTGGACCATGGACTCAGCTGGAGTATGTGAATTCACTGGAACAAAGAATGCAGAGAAGGAGGCGACAAATGCGAAAGTCGCACAGTTCTTTGAAAGAACAATTGAAAAACGGGAGGATGGTTATTATATCCGATTCCCTTATAAGGAAAACCATCCGCCACTGCCAACTAATAAGGCGATTGCACTAAAGCGCCTAAAATCAGTTTTAGAAGCACTGCGCAAAACTCCTCAATTATTGCGCGACTACGCTGAGACGTTCCGTGCTCAACAAGAGAAGGGCGTCATTGAGGAGGTTGTCGACTCATCACTGGCAGAAGGAGCTGTTGTGCACTATATACCACACCAGCCGGTGATAACGCCGCACAAGGAGACGACTAAGTTGCGCATTGTGTTCGACGCATCAGCGCATTTTAAAGATAGTCCGTCTCTAAACGATGTTCCTCACCAAGGCCCCCTTATCCTCCCAGATCTGTACGCTATGCTGTTGCGCTTTAGACTTCCCAAATATGTTATAACTTCAGACGTAGAAAAAGCCTTTTTGCAAGTGCGCTTACATGAGGCTGACAGAGATGCAACACGATTTCTGTGGGTCCGTGATGTAGATGTGCCATTCAGTGAGCAGAATGTGACAACGTTTCGCTTTACACGGGTAACGTTCGGACTAAATCGTGTCACCATATCTCCTTGGCGCAACTATTCATCACCATCTGCGCAGCGCTGTTCAGAATACAGATTTGGCTGATGAAATTCGAGAAAATTTGTATGTAGACAACCTCATTCTTTCTGCCAATACATCACAGGAGGCAACTGGAAAGTCTTTGGAAGCGCGCAAAATCTTCGAAGAAATGGGCATGAATCTGAGAGAATTCTTGTCCAACGACGAAACGCTGCGCCAGGGACTACCTGAGACAGCATGTGCCAAAGCCGCAGCGCAGAAAGTGCTTGGAATTCCCTGGAATTCGAAAACGGATTGTTTGGACATCCAGTGTTCCTTCTCTTCTACGAATCCTGTAACAAAACGTACTGTAGCACGCCAAATCGCCTCAATTTACGATCCTCTAGGCTGGTTCGTCCCCCTGCTCGTTCTCGCTAAGAAGTTCCAACAGGAACTATGGAGGCAAAAATTTCATGGGATGCGGAGTTGACTCCAGAGCTTGCTGGTCAGTGGGTAGAAACCATTGAGAACATTAACGGCTTTCAGAAATCCATCCTGAGATGGTTTTGCCCAAACTCTGAAACGCAACAATCTCGCGGTTTTCGCCGACGCTAGTGATGATTGCTATTGCAGCTTGCGCCTATTTGTTCAATGAAAACCGCTTCTTCGCTGATGATGGCTAAGAGTAAGCTGCCATCAATTAAAACGAAGACAACCTATGCCAAAATTGGAGATGAACGCGCTTACCTTAGCGACGCGCCTAGCCTTTTCGGTGGCACAGGCGCTCAAGTTTCGTTTGGGCGCCATATACATTTTCTCTGACTCCCAAATATCACTCAGTTGGCTTTCTTCAAACCGCCGAACTAATTTGGGGGTACTTGTGGAAAACAGATTACGCGAAATTCGCCGAATCGTTCGCCATCTGGAGGATGAGAAAGTATCCGTCATCTTCGGATATGTCAACACCTTGGACAACCCGGCAGATGCCGGAACGCGAGGACTCACCAAAGAGCAGCTTAACCACCACTTTTGGTGGAAAGGCCCAAGATTTCTCTGTACTCCTGTACAACAGTGGACCACTCCCTTCTATTCGTTAACTACCAACGAGGCGCCCATATTTGCGGAATTCGTGAATGAAGAACCCGCAACCATCAATATGACATGCGGGGTAACCACCAAAATTCAAGATCTTCTCGACTAGAGCCGAAACAGTTCGTTTTCCATGGCAAAACGAATAACAGCGCTTGCTCTCCGTTTTGTGAAAAAGCTTTTACGCCATAAAAACGAAGTCTCCAAAGCTAGACTACTCGCACATATCCCTGAATTGATATATGTACAGGACTCGGTAGGTCCTTCGGAGGGATGCGAAATACGTGCAGCGAAGTCGGCTTTGATTCGGAACCATCAACTCATTCACGTCACCAAAGAATATAGGAAATCCATGGAGAATACATTGAGGCTTTATCAAGATGAAGGGCAAATCTGGCGCTCCAAGGGAAGATTGGGCCACTCAGACCTACGCGCGAGCGCTAAGGACCCTATTTTCATAGCACCTAACACAGCGCTAGCAGAAAGAATTATACAGGAAGCACACGGTCCCTTCCACCGAGGCGTTGAGCACACGATAGCCACTGTACGTGAGCACTTCTGGATCCCAAAGCTACGCCAACAGGTCCGAACCACGACGAAACATTGCCTTCCTTGTCGCCGATTCAATGCGCTACCTTATCATTATCCTGATACGCCAGACTTACCTCATCACCGAGTTCTACGGTGTCGTCCGTTCCAACACACGGGACTGATTTTTTCGACCTTCCGATGTGTGAAGAGAACGGAGAAAAGTACAAACTATACGGGTGCATCTTCACATGCGCAGTGACCAGGTTACTCCATCTCGAAGTACTACGCAGCATGGCCACTAATGAATTCATCAACGCACTACGAAGATTTGTGGCGCGGAGAGGAGCACCTGAATCGATCACTTGTGACAACGCGCCAACCTTCTTGCTTAGCGCAAGCATCTTGGACAGTGGAAGCCCCCAGCTTGATGAGGATGTACTTCGTTTGACGTCCAACAAAGAAATTCAGTGGAATCATATCACACCGTATGCGCCTTGGCAAGGAGGATTTTATGAGCGCCTAATACGTTCTATAAAACAGTCGATTCATAAAGCACTGCGCGGGGGAGAAAGCGCTCTTTTGACGATATCCAAACCTTCGCTGCTGAAGTCGAGGCCTGCCTAAATTCAGGACCCCTTACTTACCAGGCATCAGAGTTAGAGGAAATGACCTCCATCCGACCGATTGACTTTTTACAAAAGAGTATGGTAGTGACCATGAAGATTCCTGAACATGGATACAGCGAAGACGACCCGGACTATTGCCCTCCCGACGAGGTACGTGCGCTTCAATACCGTCAGCAAGTGGTGGAGGCACTACATACCTCCTGTCAAGAGACGGAATTATACTGGAAGGTATGGCACAAGCAATATTTGACGTCCCTACGGGAAACCCATAAACGGCATACTCTGGATCGCAGGCTCGGATGTGAAATCCCTACTATAGGAGATGTCGTATTAGTCAGTGATCCCATCCTTCCGCGGAACGATTGGAAGCTGGCACGAATTACCGACTTGAAGCGCAGCGCGGATGGGGGAATTCGAGCTGCAGAGCTCCTGACAGCAAACAAAAGGAAAATACATCGACCAGTGAATCTCCTCGTCCCCTTGGAAATACAGGACAGCCGAAAAATCGCTGAACCTACAGAGCAAGAAGAAAATCCCACTAGGGATAGCGCAGCACAACCACGGGAGCAGAGCACGAGGTACAATTTGCGCCCACGACCAGTACGTGAAGTACAAAATGTTGTATCATCGGCGAAACGAGGGATTTCTCGCTCTCCAGGATGGTTCCTCTTCCACCTCATGTTGCTGTCACTCCTTCGCCTCTCCAATGCTAATGAAATGGTGCTAGAGTGTGTAAACAATGGGGTCATGATAAGCGCCACTAAAGCTCATGAAGTGCAAATTTGCGCAGAGAATTACTGCAAAGTTCATCATTTATCCGAAGGACAACAGCTTGTTCGATTCCCCCCTGAAATCACTCTCCATGATCACAATGTTATTTTAAAGTGGCACTCGGAACAACAACTGGCTACGATATCTACAGTATGTCAAGGTATAGACTTCTGCTCAAATATAGACTGCTGGATCTGTCCTTCCATACTTTTCAACCCGGAATGCTGGCCAGTTGGAGCAATCCTGACCATGGCGATCGTTCTGTACAGCCTTGTTGCCGTTTTTTACCTGCTACTCTATGTGCCAATGACTATTGGGAAGCCCATTCGGATAATACTGAGAGGCTTACGGGTGACTCTTGCTTATGTTCTGCGCCTTCTAGGGAGTTGTCTCATGAGCTTACTACGGAAATTCCGAAGGAAAACAACTTCTTCTGCAAGCGCGCGTTTAACGGCAGCTCTCGCAATATTCCTGGCACTGATGTCAAACGCAAACGCGTGTCAGGAAGTGAATATTCTTGAACACCACACAACGTTATGCGGGACATTAGCGGCAAGGAGAGGTGCACAATTACGCTTACGGACGTGATGAAACTCAATTCATATAAGCAACAGGCCTGCCTACGCCTTGTTCAGAACTCAACGCTAGTGGCGAATGTGAAACTTCGATGGCGAGGCTTGTATTTGCGCTGCGAGCAGGAAAGTCTGTACTTCACACGAGCTGCGAACCTCAATGTAATCAGCAGCAAGCGTTGTCCCAACATGGGGTCATGTAAAGGCTTAAAATGCGCAGCGATCAATAGCACCAGTCTTGTCGAAGAATTAAAGGATGAAAACAAACATCCAGGACGCACAGGATGCCTCGAATCGTGTGGAGGTATAGTATGTGATTGTTTCTATCCCAGGTCTGGCTGTTTGTTCTACCGCATTTACGCCACTCCGCGTAATGCCAAAGTCTATGAAATCTTTGGCTGCATGCGCTGGTCCGAGCACGTGAAATTAGAGGTTATTATTGAGGATGCGGATAGCAGGACGGGTAATCAACAGTTCGTGGTATACTCTATTCCCAATGTTCCTGTCATCCTTCCTCCTCTCAAGATCGTCTTGACATCTCTTTCACTACCACCTACTCCGGCACTTGCACGAGAATTCATCACAGACGGAGTCGACACGTCTATATGGAACAAGGCGATCAGTCCACCATTGCGCTGCAAAACATGGGCAGATGCTTACTCTTTTAATTGCACTGTCGATGACAAATGCAAGTGCACGGGCGCCGAAACTACGGTTGTTTGTAATTGCCCCTTGAAAGACATCGAGAGAGAATTCCATAAACTTGAGTTAAAAATTCCTGTCAAAACAGCGTCTTGGGAACTAATGCGCACACGGAATTCTTCCCTCTTTGCAAAAATTCCGCATATGGTGTCATCCGAGTTCATCATCAGTTTCAATCGCACGATAGACACTGCCGTTGAAATAATTCGGAGCGACGTCTGCACAATAGAGGATGCCTCCCTAAAAGGTTGCTACCACTGCGTGAAAGGTGCAAAAGCAGCAGTTCGGTGTTACTCAAGTTACTGAAAGCATTGGTGAAGTTTTATGTGATCGCCACGCCTTCGCCATCCCATGCGCACCAAGTGGACCTGAATCAATACTACAATTCCACCTTGAATCGGCACGACATTTGCTACAGTGCAAAATAGCATGCGGCACAAAAAGCAAAACGTTCCTGATTACTGGAGTTCTCAAATATGTCAATGGCCTTCACTTTCCTCTCCTCTCTACGGTGGAAGGACAAAACACGCTTTACCGGGAATTCCAGTGGCCCGATTTTGGACACATCTTCGACGTCATTTTTACATATTATAAGACATTATTAATAGCACTTATAGTCGTCGTATTAACCTTACTGATATCCTATATATGCTTGAATGCCATAGGATTGCGCGTGATCGCTTTTGTTTTACGTACAGTATGGGCAATCAGCTGTTTCCCAGTGCGCATTCTCTTTGTGTTACTGAGCACCCTTCGGGATCGATATGCGCATCGACAGGCGAATGCCAAGAAAAGCGCTTAGTCACTCAATAATCGATACACGATTGCGGGCCAATCAACATAACTCAGAGTGCGCCGGTCGCTGAGTCATCAAAAAATCAATAATATCCAGATGCGCCGGCGCCCTATTAGTTAATCATAATAGCAAAAAAAACATTTTTCTTATTAGCAGTTTCTTTTTTCAGAACATGGAAGCACTGCGCCGTAACCTCCGCAAGGTGGAAGAAGAACTTGCACAAGTTCGGAAACAACTTGATGACAAGACAAGAGCACTACAAGAATTGCGCCGCGCCCTTCCACCAATCCCAAATCCAGAACATCTTTACCGCAACATCATAGATCGCTGTCACCAGTTCTATGCGTGCACCACCTCCACGACGGAATTGAGTAACCGCATAAAAGCTCTCTCCAGGTCCGTCGACAGCTATGAAAACCGGCTTCATGAAACATCGTTGCTGGAACTCTCAGTAGACAAAGTTCGTGTGGAGATACTCTTCATAAGATTCCAGCTCCGAACGTTTTTTTCTGCGCCTGCGCTCCTTTGTGCATTTGGACTCACTACGATGGAAGTGTGGCAAGCCTGGATGGATCGCCCGCAAGAGAACGAAGCGGGAGCACCATTGCTGTCACGCCCTGAGGATATAGAACGTGTAGCGGACGACCAGCTCCACCAACTTGACTGCCACCGCCGCGCTCTCACCGAAATCAGAGCCTCTTTAATGCACGAGGAAAGGCAAGCCAACCTGAATTTTCAACTCGACATGCGCCGCGCTGTTGCCGAGCTACAGTCCTCGTTAAATGTGGCACTCCAATCCATGGAACAGCGCGCAGCGACCGCGCCGATCGTGGACGCACACAACGACTCCGCGATGGAGGAGGCTCATGAGGAGGAAGCGCCCCCTGATGGGGATCAAGACTCCAGCGGAAAAGCGCCTGCGCCGGAGGACATAGCCATGCAAGAGCAAGAAAGAGAAGCCCTCCAGCAGAACGTGGAGTTTTTGGAAGAAGTTGAAGACTTGGAAGAAGTGGAAGTGGTTGAAGGGGAGGCGGAAGAGGAAGAAGAAGACCCACAAGAAGATATGCAAGAGCGCCTCCGACGAGAAAATGAAAGTATGAGGCGACAGATTGAGACGGAAATTCAACAGCTCGAGCAATGCTGCACCG